GAAAAAAAGAAAAGAAGAAAAGTCGAGAAAGTGGCGGAACAATATGCCGCGGCAAGAATAGAGGCGCCCCGAGATTTTTCTCTCCTTTTCGTGGCGGAGGTTGTTCGAGGGGTCGTGAAGGGTCTGCGCCTCGTGGCCCGTGGCGAAAAATTAAAGAGGACGCGGCACCGACGGTTTTCATAGTCGAACGCCGAACACAGTCGCCTCTTCTTCTCCTCTCCTTCTCTCTTTCTCCTTCGTTTTCCATCGGCCTCCAGCGACTCTACCTACTTTTCCTTCGCCCTCGAGTCTCCTTCCTTTGACTTCCTTCCGTCCCTCGTCCCCTTCCCTTTCCCTCGTTTGCGGTTCGAGTTTCGTTTTGTCGTCTCTCTTTTCTCGAGATCGTCCACCACGATGCCGCTTCTCTCCGCGGGGAGAAGAGGAGGCTCTCCTCTCCTCTCCTCCGCCGGTTCTGGCTGCCCTATTCGCCTTTTGTCTCCGTGCTTTCAAACTTTCCGGAAGACTCGCCGAGTTTGCGCGCTCCGAGACTCGTAATTTTTCTCGCAACGGGACTCTCCCGAGGGGGAAACGCTTTGACGCTCGTCCGTTTGCGAAAAACTTGGCAACAATTTCGGGAGAGTGCAATCAAATCGCGAGGTTCTCTTAATCTCGTTCCCTCTTCAGTCCCCTTTTGCTTCTCCTCCTTTCCGTTCCCTTTGCGTTCAATTTCTCTGATTACTCCTAAACAAAGTCTGCCTCTCTTCGTGCTTGTTTCTATCCCGCGCAATCCGAGGTTCCCATTGCCGTTTGCAATTTTGACGTGTCCTATCCCATCTCGCCGCCTCCTTTATTACTATTCAGCTCCTTCCCCGTCGTGTAAACTGGCCCAATACCTGGAGAAAAGTCCCGGAGAAGCGCGCGAGAGGACGTTCAACCACCGTTTGCCCGGAGGCGGTTTACATCCTAGCTAGATCCGGCTAGCTCGTCGCCAAAGTGTTTCCTCTCTTTCTTTCTTCCAAAAAGCATCCGTCGGCGCTTCACGCGGGTTGCTCTTTCTTCCGAATGCTCGAACCGAAACGCTCCTCCGGATATCGGAGCAGAGGTGTTCAAAAGCTCGGGGCAGCCGAGAGATCGAGAGAAATGGCTGCGAGAGATACTACCTGGCTGGCGCACTCGATCGCGTTGTTCGATCGCGTCGAGTGCTGCACGTGAGAGAAAAGTAGTCGCGATGTGCTTCACGGCGTTTGTTCCACCTCCCCGATTGCCCTGCAATTTTCGTTCCCTGGCGTTTCCATCGGATTCCATTCGCGGTCCCGCTCCGGCTCGTCCGGTCCAATTGAATGCGGGAAGAAATGGCAGATGGAATTTCGACGAGAGACTTGAAAACCGTTCTGGCCGTTCCAAGAATTTAATCGTTCCCCGGCGTCGTTTCTTTCCATCGATCGAACGACTCGCGACGAAAGAGAATGAAACCCCGCGTGCGCCCGGACGGGATTTTCTTTTTCTTGGCGAGTGTCGCATTACGTTTAAATTTAATAGCGCGAACCCTCGAGAGGAAATTCCCCCATCTCAGCGAGTGCCTTCAGTGGCTCTTGAGAGACGAGAGCTCCTCAAACTCTGGAAATTCTTCTCGTTACAGAGTCCCTTAAACAGTTGTTACCAGTTGTTGAAGAATTGTTGCCATCGTTGACGAAGAGATCATTACTTTTCGTAAAAATTTCAGATATTAACCAGGCCATCTGTGAGAATGACTGGTATAACAGCTGCGAGTGATAGCAGACGCGACTGGTCAGACGCGCTCCCGATCTCTCGATCTCACGGTATAGCAATGAGAGTCGGAGCTGATAAATTAACCGAGCCAAGCATTTGTGTACATTTACTCACGTTCGTATTCAGACACTTAAATAACCGGACGTTATTACTATTTAAAAACTGCTACAAATTAAAGTAAAGTAAAGTCGTGTACAACGATGAAGAACCCGAGTTCTTTTTGAAGTTTGAAATTTCTACTTTCAATACACCATTCGATTTATTTGTTCTTTTTTACATCGCATATTACGTAAGCGGAAAAGCAAATACATTTCTCTCGTCGGAAATAGTATAAATTGTCATATCGTGTAGAAACGTTGAAAAATTTTTTCACCGTTTGAAACTTCGCCATTTTATTGAATCTTGAATATTAGACAAAAACGATGAAATTATTGGGAATTTTCATCATCTGTATGTCTAATATTCAAAGTTCAAATAAATTGATACATCATAAAATGGAGAACATTCATATTCGGGAGATCATTGTCAAGAAGATTCAATCTTTAAATCCATTGCAAATTCAGTCATTTTTTTTTCAATATTTTTACATTACTGTGACAATTCATGCATTTTCGAAAAAAAAGAATGTTTTCACTTTCTCGCTTGCTACGTGATGTAGAAACATCTTGGAATAAAACTAGTCAAACTTCAAAACGAACCCAGGTTTGTTCTTGTGCGATTTTATTTGTAAGAGTTTCAATATTTAATATCCGATTTTTGACGAATTTCCGAGTATTGATGGGAGTAACTACAGTTTGCTAAATTTTGAGAAAAAAAAAGATGTAAAGATTGTGCAAAAGATGATAATTATAAGATTTAAGGTGAGACCTATTAATACGTTTCGTACCGATTTTTGGTTATTTTCCGTATACGCTCCACACTATTACGATTAATAATCTTGTCTCTGAAGTATATCTTACAATTTTTATAATAATGCAAAAACTATAATCATCAAGTATCTAGAATTTAAAATGCATTACAGAACAGAGCAATAAATTTAATGTTTTAAGTATCATTTTAACAAACAATTTTTTAACGATGTCAAAATTAATTTAAGATAAAAAGATTCTGTTCCAAATATTTCTTGTGTGCTAAATAATAATAAATGATATTAAGTAGTAATAATTTATTATATAATGCTATATTTGGAATCTTTGTTATATAAATTATATAATATTATACAATAAATACTAATGAATAATATTTATTTTAACTTTTTAACGTTAATTTGATAATTTACGACAAATTTTATAGCGTTTTCTTACCAAATTGAGTGGATCACAATAAGATAAACATAGATATACAAGTTATTAAGATGTCAATACATGATTCTATAACAAATTTTCAAACTCTTCGTTTCACAATGATAATTCCAAATGGCTTGAACGGAAAGTTCACTGTGCGACGTGTTAGGGAATAAAAGGAAGAATAAATCAGCAAACGATATATCGTTGTTCGATACTACAAGGGTTAAGCGCAGAAACGTCTCGAGCGAGCGCGTAAATCGTTAACGATAGAAATATCGGCCTGTGTACCGTGCACACGCTGTTTATTTTGCTTACTTTTCATTTTATATAAATACAGAGACAGCGCACGTGTGTATATCTATATATATATATATATTTTTTTTTTAATATACAGAAATCACGCTCGCGCCGCGCGATTCGCGGATTTGTTTGATCGTTCAATAAAATCAGGTCGGCGATAACGTCGACTGGATATTTTAATTAACTTTGAAAACACAGACCACTTCGTTTTAATTCCGGGAATAACGCGTAATTGAAGGCGACCCTTTGTTTGCCAAATAATTGTTCATGAATATGTAAACGTGAGAGAGAGAGAGAGAGAGAGCTGTCCGCGTTATTTACAGCGATCCGACTCGTTTGTTTTTCTCCCCCACGCGCTCGAAGGGGCTCGATATAAAATTTCTTCCCGATCCAGAGGAACCAGCCCCCCCCTCTCGCTCGTATCGCTTATCGTAAAAATCCTAACGCGAGATACCCGGGCGCTGGCGCGCATTTCTGGAGGAAATCCAGACTCGTTTGCAATTCTCCGAGGAGAGGTAACCGTGGCTCGCCTTTGCATAACTGTTGCACACGTACATGCACCAATCTCTCCAAATAATGGCCAATCGAGAAGGGGGGGAGGGGGGAAGCGAATATTACGCGCGCGTAAATTCGACTCAGCCCGACCGTGGCTGTCCTCGATCTCTCTCTCTCTCTCTCTCTCTCTCTCTGTGCTCCCTTTGTTCGTCTGCTCGAACAAATTCGCGCAATTGCTCGGTCCGAAATTACCAGCGCGAAAGAATGAAAAAAAGAAAGAAGAAAATACCGCTGCAAGAAAATCGTTCTTCCCGTAAAAAAAGGTCGTGTTCGACCGAGTCTGTGTTGATCTTTAATTAGAAGACTCCGCCGAGGCTGAAAAACTAGAACGCTACTCGGGCTTAACTCTGTCGGGCATATTTTCGGCCTCTTTGCCGACGTTCTGCAAACACTGCAGTAACCCGGTATCGGTAGCGGGTAGTGTGTCAAGCAGCCACTGATGAAGGGAACTTGCAATGCTTGCGAAACGTTGGCGGGAAAACTGCCAACGCTTCCTTGACTCGGCCGTAAGACGACGTAAGAACCGAGAGAACGAAAGAGAGAGGCAAGTGGGTGAAAACCATCAACACGCTCCGTCGATTAGCCCCTAGTGTTTCTAAACCGAGTCACCGTAAACGCGCCTGATTGTAATCCCTCTGAGCCTCGGCTCGAGTTCCACGAGTCCGCGCGCGAGTAAATGAGAACGATCTCGGATGAAACAGAGCCGTGCCATCGGTTTAGGCCAAATGACCAATGATTGAGGGGGGGTGGGTGCTAATTCCCGGTGTCTCGGTATCGAATAGGCTCGATGGCGTCGAACAACTCGATTCCAAGCGTTTGTAACGAACAGAGGCTGAGTGATCGATCGATCGGCTGTGTGTTCCAGATTGGAGTGCGTGGTGAACGCCCTTTGCCGTGGACTGAGTCACGCGTCAACCAGCCTGGCGCGGTTGGTCCTCGACATGAATCTGTCCGGCGAGCAAGTGTCCCGGGTCTGCGATGCTCTTCGTGGCTGCGTTCAAGTGCAAGCGCTGCACTTGCCCCACTTGGGCTGCGGCTGCGAAGGGTTGGCCTCGGTCGCCGAGTTGCTCAAGGAGAGGCCTCTGCTCGCGTTGAACCTCGCCGGCAGCTGGGGAGCCAAGAACGAGGATCCCTCCAGCTCTGGAATCAGTATGGGTAAAACTTTACCGTTCTTCAGTATTCCCCTTTTTTCTCTCTTTCCTTCTTCCCCTCCACCGCTCTTTCATTTTTTTCTTTTTCATTTGAACTCATCCGGCTCTGTGCCGTAAGCTGCATCGTAAATTGAAAAATTCTGGGAATACCGGCGGCGTTTATTTATTTTTCAAGTGCACGCCGCTTTTTCATTTCTGTCTCTCCTTTAATTTCCGACATTCGACGACGCTGCCGTTTACAACACACAGGATCGCATCCGGCTTGGCACGGAACACTTTCAAACACATAATAAAAAAAAAAGAAAAAAATAAGATCGTCGTCGAGCGACCGTTCTCTGATTTTTTTTTTTAATAATACTTAACGTAACGACGCGTGACTTTCGTTGCTCTTCGTCCATCAAGGACAAAGTTCCAATGCGCGGATCGCAACGAACGAGAAATGTTTCTGCGTCGGAAAATTAACGGATCACGGTTCGCCGGTCACTCGATCGACGAGCGTGAGCTTAACGAAGTCCCGGGGCTTAAGACGAACTGAATTAACGACTGCTCGTAACCGCTTCAACCTGCCGGTATGTGTGTGTGTGTGTGTTTGATCGACCGATTCGCCCATACCACTCCGATTTCCCCTCCGATTTCACACACGAAGGGGAGAAAAAGCGCTCGCCGCTATTTGAAATTTTGATACGCGTCACTTCGTTAAACACGCTCGGCTATCGGCCGCCATTAAGGCCAATCTGCATGATGGCGCCTGGCACGCTGCGTACAGATTTATCGCGAACCGGATGCACTTCGACACCGAGTGCACAGCGTGCTGTCCAACTCGTGCAAGCGCCAAAAACGGAGAGCCGCCAAACGCGTGTGACTTGACTAACCGTTTGCCAATGAGATTGATCGTCGGAAATTTGTCGATTATTAGCAGATTGATTTGGGAAATGTGCGCATACAGGGTGGTCCATTAAACATCTTTTGGAGTAGTGTTGATGTGAAAAACATTTTTTACCTGATACGAATGGTATCCGAAATGCTAATTATATTTTTTTCA